CACGGTATTTGAATTGCCAGAAAATCAAGTATGAACATCAGAAAACATGTGATTTTACTTAAAAGATGGTGATACCGGAGTGGAAATGGGAGTGTATCATTATCGACTTTGTGGTAGGCTTGCTCTGTACTTTGTGGATGTTTGATATGATTTGGGTCATTGTTGATAGGTTAATAATGTTTGCGCACTTCATACCAGTGTTGACTACTTTTATTCCGAAAGGGTCGGCCAAGATTTACATTCGGAGATAGTTTGTTTGCATGGGTGCTTATTTCTATCATTTCATACCGGGTGCTTATTTCACATTTCATGTTTGGAGAGCTATTCAATGAGAGTTGGGTGCACAGGTTGAGCTTAGCACAACTTTTAACTAGCAGACTGACGGTTAGTTCTAGTGGACCATTCATATTCTTGAGGACATGTTGAGAGCTTGTATGATTGACTTTGGAGGTTATTGGTGTAAGTTCTTGCCTATGGCAAAGTTTGCTTATAATAACACTTACCAGTCCAACATTCTATTGGCCTCGTATCAGGCTTGGTATGGTAGATTATGTCGTTCTCCTATTGGTTGGTTTGAGCCATGTAAGGATAGTTTGTTGGGTACGGATTTATTATGTGATGCTTTGGAGAAGGTGAAGTTGATTTAGGAACGACATTGGGTAGCTCAAAGTATGCAAAAGCGTTATGCAGACAAAAAGGCTTGTGATGTGGCATTAATGAAGGGTAAGAAGGTACTTTTGAAATTTTAACCCATGAAAGTTGTGATGAGATTTGGAAAGAAAAGCATGTTGAGTATGGGGTTTATTGGCTCATTTGAGGTATTGGAGAGAGTTGGAGAGGTGGATTATAACCTTTCTTTGCCTCCTAGCCTATCAGGGGTACATTCAGTATTCCATGTTTCTATACTTTAGAAGTATAATGAAGATAAATCACATATTTCGGACTTCAGCACAATGCATTTAGATAAGAATTTGGCTTATAAAGAAGAGCCAGTGGTTATTTTGGACATGTAGTTTCGAAAGTTAAGGTTAAACGAGATTGCTTCAGTGAAGGTTCTTTGGAAAGATCGACCAAGAGAGGATTAAATCAGATATGCAGAGTAGATATACACATATTTTTGGCAGTGCAAGTACTTTTCTGAACCCGTTGGGGGCCGAACGTTTATGTAAATGGTGGAAAATGTAACGATCTAACTGGTTGTTTTGAGTTATAGAACCCTATTTCTTTATTTGAGACTTCAAGTAGGTTCATTTGATGATTTATGACTTGCGGAGATGGGTGATTCAAATGCTGAGAGGTTCCAGAGTTATTAAGAACACTTAGTTCCTAAATAGAGGCCTTAAGTTATGAGAATTTATCAAAGTCAACATTTTTTATTAACGAGCTCAGATTGGTGATTTGAATGTTTTGATATGTTTGTATGATGGTTTTGGGCTTTATCGTATGTTCGGATCAGGTCTTGGGTGGCCCAGGAAGGATTCAACACTTTGGGTTGAAAGTTTGCAATTTGAAGGAGTTCATAAGTTTGACTCGGGATTGACTTTTGTGTTATTGCATTTCGTTTCATGTGTGGAACTTTTGGATAGGTCCATATAGGTTATTTTTACTTAGTTGGATGGTTGAGAGATGAACCTAAGGGCTCGGCAGTATTTTGAAAAACATAAGACAATTCGTATTTTGGTTTGTATCTTGATTCTTAGTTGTGATGTATCTGGATGCATTTTGAGACCTTGGACTAGTTTGTGTAGTATATACAGACTAGTTGGGATGATTAGATGGGGTCCCGGGGGCTCTTGTGATTTTTTGGGGCGTTCATTTGATTTTTCGAAAAGGCAAAATTACAGTAAACTGCAGTCACGTGTTGAATAGCAGGTGGATGCTTCACGTCAATTCCTATCTTGTAGAAAACGAACAGATGATGAGGGGGAGGCAACGCGCCAACCCTGGTTCCAATTCCTGGGAAGATTCCGAGAATTTAGCTTTTGCCATATGAACCCCATTTCGTACATAGAATATATATTGTATCATTTTGAGAGCTACACAACACGAATTTGGGAGATTCTTGAAGGAGATGTCATTTACCTCATTGGGGTAAGACATCCTAACCTATACCTATGATTATAGTATGAATCTATCATTAATTTTGTCTTAGAATCAAGGATTCAAAACAGAAAAAAGGGTTTTGACTTGAAAAATAAGAAAGAATATTTTGAGGTTTTGAATACCGATTTAGGATCGTATTCAAGAATTTATGCTAAAGTTCTCTTTCTTTTTTCTATCTCTTTATTTTCTCTCTCTCTCTCTCTCTCTCTCTCTCTCTCTCTCTCTCTCTCCGACCCTCTGACTGCCTAATGGTAACACCATATCTGGCGAACAACCTAGACAACGGCAACCACCGCCCCACAAGTAGGCCTTTGTCTCCTCTCTCTTCTCTCCCATCCCATTCTCTTCTCGTCTCTTCTCTATCATCTTCCCTTTTTTTTGTCTTTCCTTCTCTCCCATCCACTTCTCTCCATATCTCTCTCTTCTTTTTACCGCTCTGTCTTTTGTTCTCCGTCATCGCCGGTGACTGTACCAGTGCCGACATTAATTCTCACTACCGTCTCTCTCTCTCTTGGTCACCTTTTTTTCTTTCTCCTTTGTGGGTGCCTCTCTTTGAGTCTGCACACAGTGAACATGGCCGACCAGACCAAGACTTTTTTGGCAAGGATCTAGTCATTTTTGCCGGCACCTTCTTTTCTCACTGTTGGCCACCTCTTCAACTGTCGGTCAGTTTTATGACGAACCCCATTCTGCAAGAGATTGTAATCTTACTGATTACATAACCAGTCGATTATTTTGGTGCGTGCAGTTTTCATCCCTGAGATCGAGGCTCAGTAACGACAACCCAGGTGACTTAGATTGCCCTCACAGCCAGCCCGCTGAGACCCAGTCCCTCTGTTCAGATTTTCAAGTTCTATAACTCCTTTCTTTGCTTGATATTTGCTGTTTTAGCTACCTGCCTATTTTGATTTTATATCCTGTACGTATTCACTATCATTTGCTTTAGCATTACCGAATTAGTTGCTTTCGTAAGTGCTTTGTTTTCCTATTTATATATTATCTTAAATCTTTCTTTGTGCTTTCGCTTATAGATTATTCTTTAGTAGTTTTGCCTGTTTTGTGACTTTTAATTGTCGATTATATTTCTTTTATTTCTTTTATTTTAACTAGTCGCTTGTTTTGGGGTAGTTCATGCATAGTGTCCCTTAGATTATAGTGGCTTTGGTGAACGATGGCAGGGTAAGGTCTTGTCCTCAAAGGGGTCCTTGCAGGGGAGGGCGCGTGGAGAGAACGGGGGGATAAAAGGGTTAATGGGGCCGCTAGGGTGAGAGGTTGGCCTTGGAACATAAGAAATTTGACTGGAAAGTCTATAGAGTTAGCAAAGATTCTTCAGAAGAGGAAGATTCATAGACCTTGTGTCTAGGATACTAGACGGGGAGGAGCAAAGGCGCGAGATATGGACGGGTTTAAACTATGGTACTCTAGAAGCACGGAAGGTAGGAACGTGGTAGGTATTTTGGTTTATAAGGACCTCAGGAGGGTGAACGACAGGCTGATGACTATTAAGCTAGTTGTTAGAGGATTTACTTTGAAAATTATTAGTGCTTACGCACCCCAAGCATGCTTGGATGAAGAAGTCAAAAGGTGTTTCTGGGAGGATTTGGATGAGATGGTGTGTGGTATACCGCAAACTTAGAAGATTTTCATAGGAGGATATTTCAACGGACATATTGGAGCGATGTCTGGGGGTTATGATGATGTGCATGGTGGCTTCAGTTTTGGAGACAGAAAGGGAGGAGGGACTTTACTGCTGGATTTTGCTAGAGTAGATAACTCGGGTTTACCGAAGTAGGTGGAACACTTGGTTACCTTCCGGAGTTCGGTGGCTAAGACCCAGATTGATTATCTACTCTGCAGGAAGTACGATAAAGGTCTTTGCACGGATTGCAAGGTCATCCTGAGTTAGAACCTCACAACCCTTCATAGGCTCTAGGCCATGAACCTTGAGATCGCAAGGAAGAGGATAGTGTATGGTCAACCTAAGATTAAGTAGGGAGCCTTGATTGAAGATAAAGCGCAGGAGTTGGGGGTTAAACTGCTGACTATGGGTCTTGGAGGAGTAGTGAGGACGCGAGTGTTATGTAGACGATGACTGTGCATTGCATTAGGATGCTAGAGAGCTATTAGGGGTCTTGAAGGGTTACCCTGGTGGTCACAAAGGAGACTGGTGGTGTAATGGAGAGGTCCAAAGAAAAGTAAAAACCAAGAAAGCGGCATATCTGAAGTTAGTAAAAATCATAGACGAGGAGAAGAAGAGGACGAATAGGGAGTGGTATAAGATGTCTAAGAAGGAGGCGACATTAGCAGTTACGGCGACCAAGACTGCAATATTTGGTCATTTGTATGAAGAACATAAGGGTAGAGGTGTGGATAAGAGGTTATTCAGGCTAGCCAAGGTGAGAGAAAGGAAGGCCCGTGACTTGGACCAAGTGAAGGGAATCAAGGATGAAGAAGGTAGAGTTTTGTTGGATGAGGGGCATATCCAGTGGAGGTGGCAAACATACTTCCATGGTCTCTTGAATGAGAAGGGGGACATGAACATTGTACTGGGGGATTTGGAATCCTTCGAGAGTCGTTGTGACTTTGGATATTATAGGCAGATTATAGTTGAGGAGGTAGAGGGGGTAGGGGAAAAGCGATTGCGCCAGATGAAATCCTGGTGGAGTTTTTAAGAGTGCAGGCAGGGCGGGCTTGGAGTGGCTTACTAGGTTATTTAATGTCATTCTTGGGATGAAAAAAATGCTCGAAGAATGGAGGTGGAGTATGATGGTTCCTTTGTACAAGAACAAGGGTGATATCCAAAATTGCAATAACTATCAGGGTATCAAGCTGGTTAGCCATACTATGAAAGTCTGAGAGTGGGTGGTGTATCTATTTTCGAGAACTAGTTCGGGTTTATGGTGGGGCATTCGACTACGGAAACCATTTACCTTGTTAGGAGATTGATGGAGCAATATAAGGGGAGAAAGAGGGACTTGTATATGGTGTTCATCGACTTGGAAAAGGCATACAATAAAGTCCCGAGGGAGGTCCTATGGAGATGTTTGGAGGCTAGAGGGTTACCTATTGCTTACATTAGAGCGATTAAGGATATGTATGATGGAGCTAAGACTCGGGTGAGGACAGTAGGAGGGGACTCAAACCACTTCCCTATCATGATGGTGTTGCACCAAGGGTCGGCACTCAACTTTTGTTTGTTTGCCCTGGCAATAGACGTACTGACGCGCCATATCCAAGGGGAGGTGCCATGGTGCATGTTGTTTGCAGATGGCATTCTATTGATTGACGAGATGTGAACCATGTTAACTCGAAGTTAGAGATGTAGAGGCAAACCGTAGAGTCTAAATATTTCAAGTTTATTAGGACTAAGACATAATACTTAGAGTATAAGTTCAGTGGGGAGACTCACGGAGTGGAAGGAGATGTGAGGCTGGATTCACAATTCATCCCCAGGAGAAGAGGTTTTAAGTACCTTGGGTTTATTATACAAGGGGATGGGGATATCGACAAAGATGTTACACACTGTATTGGGGAGAGATGGATGAAATGAAGACTTGCTTATGGTGTTTTGTGCGATATGAAGGTGCCAGCAAGACTCAAAGGTAAGTTCTATCGAATGGTGGTCATGCCGACTATGTTGTATGGGGCCTGAGTATTGGCCAGTCAATAGCTCCCATGTCCATAAGAGGGGTGTAGCAGATATAAGGATATTACAATGGATTTGCGGGCACACAAGGCTAGATTGGATAAGGAATGAAGTTATTCGGGACAAGGTAGGCATAGCCCTTATTGAGGACAAGATGCGGGAAACGAGGATTAGATGGTTTGGGCAAATGAGGAGGAGGAGCACAGATGCTCTGGCCAGGAGGTGTGAGAGATTGATATTGGAGGGCCTAAAGAGAGTAAAGGTAGGCCAAATAAGAATTGGAGAGATGTGATTAGGCAAGACATGGAATTACTTCAGCTGACCGAGGACATGACCCTTGATAGGAAGGTGTGGAGATCGAGGATTAGGGTAGTAGGTTAGTTAGTAGAGTGTTCTCCTCATTCATATCGGTAGTATTAGTATGCACTTTCGTGTTCTGTTGGTATTATATTTCTATGACTACTTGTCGTTTCTCTCATTTCGGTCATCTTACTATCTGATTGTTATTTATGCTGCTTTTACATGGCTTCTTGTTGTTGCACTTCTTGATTTTCTCTTTATTAAGGTGGTTCTTATGCTTCCCTAAGCTGAGGGTCTATTAGAAACAGACTCTCTATCTCAACAAGGTAGGGGTAAGGCTGTATACACACTACCGTCCCTAGACCCCACAATGTGGGATTATATTGGGTTTGTTGTTGTTGTTGTTGTTGTTGTTGAATACCGATTTGGACTCGAATTTGAAAACTTATCTCATATACGGACTCGTAGGGTCATGGGTCCATTGGATCCAACATTGGATGCCAGTTTTGACCATATGGTCTCGGGGTTGACCTTTTTTGTTAACTTTTGCTATTTGATTAAAGATTGAAGCATTATCATCACGAGTTGGATTTTATGGCCTTATTTGACCTCGCTGAGTATTGTTTGCCTAGATTTTGAATGTTTGGAGGCCAAGGCTAGACGACAGGTCATATTGGAGGTTGAGGCCTATTACAGATAAGGTAAATACCTAGGCTAACCTTGATTGAGAATTTTTCTTATAAATAGACTTATTTGATAAATACTACGTGTTTGGGGATAACGTATATGTGAGATAACGAGTGTATATGAATGTAAAAAGGTTATACCATGGTTTTGGTTAGAATTTAGGTTTCTTTATGCCTTATATGAGATATGTTCTTGTTTTATGACTTACATGTTTGTATGACTTCTTGAGCAATTTTATTCATGCTAGAAATCATGTCTAGGCTTTCGATTCCTTATTTGTACTTGATGGGCTATTTGCTAAGTTGGATTACATGTTGTAGCCATAGTCATACTTGTGTACATGCAAACATCTTTACATGTTTATCTCTCTGTCCATATGCATAGTATATGCTTATCTCTTGTTCACATGCATACATACCTGAATGTGATTTCTAAAGTGGATTGAGCACTTGCACATGAGTTTTCTGTGTGGATTATGTTATGGCACGTGATTTGTCCATGCAAGTTATGATATGCACATTTAGTATCCATGGGGTGCATGGATTTGGATCCTTCTCTCCGGAGTCACATGATTACCCATGCTATATCGAGCCACAAGTGTGCAGTGCTATTAGACACCAGGGAGGTGTCGATTGAGGTAAAATTTGATTCTTTATCACGCATAAACATTATAGACTCATGTACAAATAAGCTTTCACAAAATGCTAGGTAGTGCATATCTTCTTTATATGTGAATTTGGTGCCTTGATTCGTGCTCTGATCACATATTTAAAAAGCATGCCTAAAATCTTTCTTCATGACTATGCAGCTGTTATATATAATCGATGTTGTTGGTTGTTTCTATCATGATCCAAATTCTACCGGGATAGTAAAGGCACATAAGCCATCCCGCTAGGCAAGCCAACAAACATAAACACTACTCAACTGCAGATCATCAAATAACTAATGAAATAAGAATACAAAATTTAATACAAGCTACCCCAAGAACATGTGTTACAAGTCACGCGTAACTAAGAATAGGAATAGAATGCTGACATGAAGAATAATTCATCATCTGATTGAATATACATAAATAGAAATACAAGATCATAGGCTACTATGAACTAATGGCAGCTAATAACTGGAATGATGATTTCTTCAATACTCATCCTCGGACTCTACAACCGCTTAGCTCCAAAATCTGTATGCAAGGTGCATAAGTGTAGTATGAGTACAACCGACCCTATGTACTCAGTAATTACCAAGATTAACCTCAATGAAGTAGTAGTGAGGTTTAGCCAAAAGATACTATAACAACCCGGCTGGTCGTTTTGAGAGTTAGAGCCTCGATCCTCTATTAACTGCTTCCCCCGTATCCTTTTCTGCTATTATGACTTGTCGGGAGGCTTCATTTTTGTTTTTGGAAGTGTTTGGGACACTTAGTCCCTAAATTGAGGTTTAAGCCTTAGGATTAGCACCATAGTCAGAACTGTGTGAATATGACTCCGGAATGGAATTCTATCAATTCCGTTAGCTTCATTGAGTGATTTTGGGCTTAGGGGAGTGTCTGGATTGTATTTTCGAGGTCCGTAGCTCATTTAGGATTGAAATAGCGAAAGTCGAATTTTTGGAGTTTTGGGCCGGTAGTGAAATTTTTGATATCGGGATCGGATTCCGATTCCGGAAGTTGGAGTAGGTTCGTAGTATTGATTATGACTTGTGTGAAAAATTTGGGGTCAATCAGACGTGGTTTGATAGGTTTCGGCATCGGTTGTAGAATTTTAAAGTTTCAAGTTCTCTAAGTTTGAATTGGAGGGGGATTCATGATTTTAGCATTATTTGATGTGATTTGAGGGCTTGACTAAGTTCGTATGGTGTTTTGGGATTGGTTAGTATATTTAGTTGAGGTCTCGGGGGCCTCGGGTGAGTTTTGGGTGCTTAACGGACTAGTTTTTGGACTTGAAAGATAGCAGATTTCTGGTGTTTTTGTTGCAGAATGTCCTTCATCGCATTCGCGAGAGAGGTCTCGCGATCATGTAGAGCATATGGGAAAGGCAACTGAGGTTGTTCTTCTCATTCACGATGTCGTTTCCGCATTCGCGAAGGTATGGAACACTAAGGCTACGCGTTCGCGATAAGTACCTCGCGTTCGCGTAGAGTCAACGGTCAGATAGGTTCCAGGCATGATAGCTTATGTGTTCGCGATGAGTGTCCCGCGTTCGCGTAGGGTCAAGCTAGTTGAGCTTCACATTCGCGACCAGTGCATTGCGTTCGCGATGAGTACATTTTGGTCTGAAGCAGCTTGTGCTTCGCGAACGCGAGGCTTTGACCGCGTTTGCGAAGAATGGCATACCTGGGCAGAATTTGAAGTTCAAAAATGAGGGTTTTGAGTTCATATCATAAAATTGAATTGGGAGCTCGGTAGAAGACGACATTTCGAGAGATTTTCAGAGGAAGTAATTGGGCAATGATTCCTATCTCCTTTATGGTTACAACCCACTAATCTATCATTAATTTTGTCATTTAATTTTGGATTTGGGGTGAAAAATTGGGAAAATTTGAGAAAAGTTCTTAGACCAAATTTTGGGGTTTTGATCGAGATTTTGGTATCAGATTTGAGTGAATTTGGTATGGTTAGACTCGTGAGTGGAAGGGTGTTCGTATTTTGTGACTTTACCTGATTCCGATACGTGGGCTCGGGGAGGCTTTTTGAGCGATTTTTCAATTTCTTGCGTTAGCTTTGATTTCATTAGCTAGATTAGTTTCTTGTAGTTATATTTATGCTATGTAATTGATTTTGGCTAGATTTGGGCCACTCGGAGCCGGATATTCATGGGAAAGGCAGTGTGACTGATTGATTGAGCTTGGTTCGAGGTAAGTGGCTTGCCTAACCTTGTATGGGGGAACTCCCCTTAGGATTTGGTACTGTTTGATATGTGAGCGCCGTGTACGTGAGGTGACGAGTACGTACACGAGCTATTTGTTGTAAAACTTCATTTTTCACTCAGTCATAACTTGTTTTCTCCTTAATTGAAACACACTAGCATATGTAAATATCTTGTTTAGACTAGAATAGCATGCCTACTTGTTTAACTGCCTATTTGAACTCTGTGTAGTATGTTTGGTGAAATTACCTGCTTTCCTTGACTTGAACTTAGTCTAAACTGTAGGATTTCTTGCTGTAACTGTTATTTCGGTGGGTTGTGCTGCATATTTATTTTGGGACTACAGAACGGTGTTCCGAAAAATTTCCCTATACAACATATTTACTTTGGGACTACGGAACGGTATTTTGGGAGATCCCCCTGTTCTGCATATTTATTTTTAAACTACGGAACGGTATTCTGGGAGATCCCCCTGCACATTTATGTTTGGGACTACGAGACGGTATCTCGGGAGATCCCCTGTTGTTATTACTATGTTTTGAGCTGTTGTCTTTCATTGATTCTATTCCTGTTAGATTTACGGATTTATTTTACTGTGATATTTCATTATGTCTTATTTCGTTATATTTATACCAGTAGGGCCCTGACCGAGATTAGGCTTGACACTTATTGGGTACCGTTGTGGTGTACTCACGCCCTTTCCTGCACATGTTTTTTTGTACATCTGCTCGCCCCCGCAGATCCTCAGAGTCCCTTTCTATCCCCCTTTGTTCATTTTTCCTTCTTTCTGTAGAAATGA